ACCTGATTCCACCCCTTGATGTTTTAGAGGTCAGTGTTAGCTCTGCTCCTGATTTGTATCGTTTGAATGGACTTTTGATCTTGAAAATTGCTTTTATCTCCTTATATTTCATGTTTCAGGAAACATGATTGTATAAAAATGAGAGTGTAAGAGTTGTTAAAACTTTTTTTTTTTGACATTATAATTCCCTTGTAATTAATTTTCAAAATTTTCAACACTCCATGCACTGTGTTAATGCCGTGATGCAAAATTGATTGCATTGTTTTCAATATGTACTCTAAAACACTGGGGTTTTTTCTTTTGCAAAAGTGAATGTTCAGATCATCTGCTCATCAGTCTTTTTGCTCGTCTGTCTGTTTATTCCTTACATATTAAGATCTCTCTCTCTCTCTCTCTGTAAGAATTCTAAAACGAGGCAAGCTATTGACAAATAAGTTAATGATACATATTATTGTAAACTCAATGACCTCAGCAAATAAGCTTATAGTGAATTAATCCGAATGTTCAGTAACTTTTTTTCATGCAAATTGTTAGGCCATTACTTTCACACTGAAAAGTCTCCATGGATTTTCCGTTCGCCTGGTTTGACCTGTCAACAGGGAATCCATACTATCTTAATGTTTTTCCATGCATATATGCTCTGTTTAAAATTAATATGTTCCGATAGAATTTTTAGCTTGATAATTGTTATTTTCATATTTTATCTGTCCTTTTATTATTTTTGTTTTCAGGGGGAAAATATAAGCATATTAATCCAGAATCAACACTTGAATTTTTGTTAACATGAAAAATAAAATATACGTGTAAACCCTCTTCTGTGTTCTTTAGTTCAATTTCTCTTTGTATCTTCACATTACAATATGCCACGGTCCCGTCCATATATGCTATAAATAATTAATTAAAATGTCAACTATTCAGAAAACATTTTATATGAAATCAAAGATTTTTTATTGAGTGAAATACGAAATATTCTACAAAGCTGTCGTTTATTGTTAATAATTAATTGTCCATGTGATCGTAAAGAGAAACTAGCAGTAAATGGTGTGTGACTTCATTTTTTTTATTTGAAAGGAGGTAGTGAATTTAAAATAACTCATGAACCACTTATACTTTGGACCAATATACATTTCTGAAAACCAATGTATATCACACACTTACAAACAGATACAAATACATGTACTTAGTACAGAGAAAATCAATAATGATAATTTTTGTTGAGATATTAATTATTTTGATGGACAACTTTAGTGTCTTTGAGATTACATAAATGAACTTCGTTGCAAAAAGAAAAAAAAAGCTACCGTGTTATAGGATAATACATAAGCTGTTTGTTAACGGAAGGGTTATAGCTAATATTTAAATGGAAGGTAGTATATATCTGTTTAATCTACAAAGAATTAATCATGTTTATGATTTAAAACACATGTACAGTAAGTATACACCGTGAGCAAATTGTTGTTTAGGATTGAAATACATAAATATTTATATGAAAGCATTACTGGAATTGTGTAAGTCTAGGAGTTATGACGTCTCGACATAATTTAAATCTCAATCATTAAGTGTGTAGCCATTCTCAAACTTGTTCGGGGTCGATTCCATTTACATTCAGAGTGCTATGATGTCTAATAAGATTCTTGTGTATATTCATAGGCGTCGAAACCGGGGGGGGGGGGGGGGGGGGGGGGGGGGGGGGGGGGGGGGGGGGGGGGTTAGCTCCCCCACTTTTTTGCAAATATATATATAATATAATAGGCATTAAAAATCGGGGGTTACCTTTTTTTGTTGGTTTGGCGCCCCCCCCCCCCTCACGTTCAATTTGCTTCCGACGCCTATGATATAATGTAAATTTTTATTTCTTTACGATCGAATGAATTGATATGAATTTTGTAGATTCGTTTTGCATATCAAACGTAGCGTTGTAATACATGTATTTCATCTTTTCCATTTGCATTGTATATTTTTTATTTGTATTCTATAATTTTCCATTTGCATCATAAAATTTTTCATTTTTATTGTATTATTTTTATATTTATTCGATAATTTTCCATTTGTATTGTATATTTTTTTTCATTTGTATTGTATAATTTTCCATTTGTATTGTATAATTTTCCATTTGTATTGTATAATTTTCCATTTTTATTCTATAATTTTCCAATTACATTCTATAACTTTCATTTGTATTTAAAAAATCCAACCCATACTCATAGTTCCCTTTCTAAAGAAGATAGTCGCCCGCGTGGCGCAGTGGTTAAAGCGTCTGCTCTATATGGAGTCGCGAAGTAAGGAGTTGATCCTTACGTCGTGGGTTCAAATCCCACTGTGGGGTGTGGAGACCGGTCCTTCGGATGAGACCGTAAAAACCGAGGCCCCGTGTCGCAGTAGGTGCTGGCACGAAAAAGTTCTCTCTCTCTCTCTCTGCTCAATGACCCCTGAGTGCCGAGTATTGGACGAAAATTGCAGCTCTCCATCGGCAAGTGGTGGCGTCTCCGTATGAGTGAAAAATTCTCTAGAGGGAAGTCCCCTGAGTGCCGAGTATTGGACGAAAATTGCAGCTCTCCAACGGCAAGTGGTGGTGTCTCCGTGTGAGTACAAATTCTCGAGAGGGAAGTTAAACAATAAACAACCAATCAATCAATCTTTAGAAGAAATTTTTCAAAATCACATGTCAGCTTTGAATTTGAATATCTTAATATCCCAAACAACTAAAATGAATTTGAATTACCATATCTATATTGGATTCCAAAACTTCATAAAAATCCTTACAAACAAGGATACATAGCGGGTTCCAGTAAATGTTCAACCAAGCCTCTTTCTTTACTTCTCACTAAGATATTAACAGTTGTGAAGGAGAAACTTCGAGAGTACTATATTCAAGAAGTGGTGTAAATCAGATGTGGATACTTAAAAATTCCAAGGAACTTTTGGAAAATTTGAAATCACAAAATTTTACTAAAAAATCAACAGCTTAAAAAGTTAAGACTTTTCAACTATACACACAACCATTCCCAACGATAAATTATTGGTCATTTGCAAAATTATTTTGTTAAAAAACATTCTGATTATTCACACGAGTACTCGATGTGAAGTCGAAAAAGATGTCTGAGTTTCTGATTGACAATATCTATGTGGGTTTTGGAGACCAGGTCTTCCAACAATCTATTGGAATTACCATGGGTACCAATTGCGCCCCGTTATTAGCAGACCTATTTTTTTGTATTCATTTGAATCAAAATTTGTCCAAAATCTAATACGTGAATAGACGAAAACACTTGCTGTGGCCTTCAACTCGACATTTAGACACCGGTATATTGACGACTTATTGTCAATTAATAATGGTTATTTCCATTCTTATGTCGATACGATATATCCCGGTGAGCTTGAGAAAAAACAGAGTCTGACACATCTGTTTCTTATTCAGATATTTTACTTGAAAAGGACATTAATGGTAATCTAACAACCAAGCTCTATGATAAACGTGATGACTTTAACTTTTCAATCGTCAACTTCCCTTACTTATGCAGCAATATACCTTTAGCACCTGCATACGGAGTTTATATCTCTCAGTTGATTCGATGCACAAGAGCATGCTCTACGTACGTACAATTTCTAAAACGAGGTAGATTATTGACAAACAAGTTGATGAAACAAGAATATCAGCAGTCTCGTTTAAAGTAATACTTTTATTACTATATTAATGATAATATAAGTTCTATGGTCGATAGAATGACCTTAATTGTCAGCAAATATATTTTATTATTAATTGTGTCAAATGGTGACTGACTATTTTCATAATCCACTATTTACACACTGAATTGACGACGGATTTTTCGATATTTCCCGAACATAACAATGATTACACGGCGGGTGTGACCGGTCGGTAGGGGATGCTCACCCCTCCATGGCATCTGATCCAAACCTCTGATGTTTTGGAGGTCCATGATTGCTCTTTTCCCATCTTGTATTGTTTTATGGACTTTTGAGCTTGAATACTGTTCGTTATCTCCATATATTTCATTTCATGCTCTTGAAGGAGAGAATACCTATGTCCAAGATAACCAGAGACAGTATCGGGTAGAAGGAATTTTCCGTATGAAAAAGTCACCCAAAATAGGACCCAATGATATTTAATATTTAGAGTCTTTGGCATTCTGTTCAACCCCCCCCCCCCACCCCCAAAAAAAGTATTGATAATTTTAATTTCCAATGATTTGTGAATTAAGTTTTTTCAGTTGCTTTTCAGGGTTTTCCTGCCTTTTTTTAACTATAAATCTAGGCAACCCGTCTCCTCCAAATAAAAATAATTCTGGGTCTATATCCTTGTTTTATGTAATTTTAATTTTAAAGAAGCTTAAAATTGTATCTATTGTTTTCCTGCTTCTTAACATGGAAGTCATTGACAGACTTGCTCCAATAGTTACAAAGTCATCGACTCTTGCATTTTTTGCATTTAATTGACCTGTAAATTTAATTTACGTCTTTAATTTCATCAATACAGTTTAATTTTTTAGCCTCAGATTCAGTCAAGCTTTACATCACAAAAATGGGTATGCGTGCACTTAACCGTCTAAGGAATCCAAAGCAGCTTAATTATTGCATTTTGTCTGATGGTAAAATATTTATAAGTATAAAGATGCTTTTAAATCAAAAGAAGATGAACAGAAAAGCAAAACTATTATTGTAATGACAACAGTAGTAGATATGATTGAAAATAAGATTGTGATGAAAAGAACTAGATCTTTTGTTGACAGAAACACAGTTCTGTCCATGTAGAAAGGGAAGGTTTAATGATATAATCCCTGGGGTGCCCCTGTAAACACAAAGAAAGTCGCAGTTATAATAGCTACAAACAGGTTGAAAACAGAATTCAATTAGGAAAATAAACAAGTTAAATCAATAGGCCCGGACATTTAAATGTGAATAAAATACCCCGTGACGCATTGACTTCGGCCATATATAAGTGATTGATTGAATAATATCACTGATTTGTGGTATTGATTTAGAAATGGACACACGAAGCAAAGATAAATGGAAAATTGCTCTCTTATATTTTATTGTGTGGGAATTATTGGCTAATTTTGGTAAGCTTTTTAAAAATAATTTTATATTGCAGTTTTAAAGAATTTTCTTCATCATGGCATCCTTTCCCATTTCTCCTGTTTTTTCGTTTACAATTAATGAAATATTAAGACAATACCTTGATTGGATAATGTACTATATTGAAATTACTGGACATGTATAAAATACTTCCTATTGTTTATAAATATTACAAATACTAGTAATTTTCTTTTTTATATTTAATACTACTTTTTAATGCCATTCTATTCTTAATTTCCTTTAATTTTGGTCGGCATATAAATTCATATTTAATTCTGCTGCTTAAAATATGCAATTCTTACATATGCATGTGCATCTTCTTTCTTTCTTTTTTTTTAAAGAAAAAGGTATGATTTTTTTTAATTAAAGAATCATTTCGTGAAACAAATAAATAAATTTACAAATCAAAAAGAATTGAAATGTAAAGTATGTAGATTACAAAAAGGAAGGTTTTTCTTAAATAGTAAACAGAACTTGAAAATACTGAAAGCATCTTTTTTATTTTCCTTTCCTCTGCCTTCAAGTCGTCGCAAGTTTTTGAAGTTTGAAATTGATTGCAAATAAAACTATGCTATTAATGTCCAAAAATTAATTGTTTTAATTAACTGAGCAGAACTCAATTTATTATCAAAACACTGTCCACTTGTTGTAATTGACTTGCATGAATAGGCAAGTTTAATATGTAACGGAATATGCCACATAGTTTATACCTGATGAAATTTATCCACAATTTATGCAGTTTTAGAGGCTTTGTCACGCAAACAGTTCATTTGAGAATGTATACTGTCTACGATGTTTATATCTAATAGATAATTTATATGTTTGTCTAAAAATGAAGGAGGCTTACAATATCTTGCTTCTGCGGACAAGAATTTATAATGATAGCCCAGTTTCAAGCACCTGCACTGCGACTCGTAAATAGATTATATGTAATAATCACAGCACTTTTCAAATGAACAGAAATTTATATATATTAATTTTTTTAAATTTAATTCGAAGTAATTAATTTTTTCTCGACTTATATACATTGTACTCGTGTAAAGTTATTCATTTATGATTTGACACGAATTCATATTAATTAAAAAACAATCTCGAGCTCGTTTCTTCAGAAAAATGCCGACATTATAAAAAAAAAAATATTAAGACTTGTCTACATAATCCGGCTTTAATCTACTTAAGTGAAGTTGGCTGTGTTAAGTGAAGGGTTACATGACATCAATGTGTGAAGGCCATGTCCAGATTGCTTTTTGCAATTAAATGTTCTTAAAGATATCAGTTCCTTTTCACGTTGTTTTTTTATATTGCTAAATAATTGGTAATCTCGCACAGAAATTTCATCTGACATATTAAAAACTCCTTTTATTTAGAAAATGCCGTTTTGTAATAAAACAAAAATAGAAGAGTATAATATAACTGAAACAATACTGTGTATTTAATAGGTGCAGGTGCACTGGATTTCCAGGTGTACCAAAGAGATGTCGCCACGGAAGATCAGCTAACAGAACTAGAGGTTGGTTTACAAGTCTCTACATAATTTAACGACTCGCCAGACAAATGCCGCAAATTTAACCAAATGTAACGTCAGAGCTATTTAGATGTTCATGTGAGCCTTTATTTAATACTTCTCTTGATACTGCAGATTGGTAACCCTGCAGGCAGGGTTAGGGTGGCACGCAACACACGGCAGAGACGCCAAGCGTCAACGGCACAAGAGTATATAGACGCACACAATGACGCAAGGGCTATCGTCAGTCCCACTGCCACCGACATGCTTAAAATGGTGAGAGGCGTTCGTTGTCAATATAATTAATCCATGCATTATACAATAAAAGTATACAATTATTTCAACTTTCTTACTCAGTGGCTCGATACATAAAAATTAAGCGAGTAAAAATCATAATTTCCTCAAACATAAAAAGACAATTTTTCCTGATCTAGAAATGGAGCAATGAACTAGCCACTGTTGCAGAAAACTACGCAAAAAAGTGTATTTGGGGGCATAACGCTGGCCGTACCTCCGAAACACAAGCTCTGACGTCACAGTTCACTTACGTCGGAGAAAATCTTTACGTTACCTCTAGAAGTAAGTATAAATTATAATATATTATATTATATCCATTTTGCGAAACATGAGTTCAATAATGTTTTCAAAAGGTATTTAAAATAAAATAAATGGTGCATATGCTGGAAAAAAAATGTATGAAATTAGAGAAAAAATGGAGAAAAGCTATATCCTTTTCAGCTTATTAATAAATTACATTACTTCACTCTTGAAAATTTAATAAAACCTAAAAATATTTTATGATGAATTAATTCTTTAAAAGGAAATGTCCTTCTTTACTTTAGGCACAGCGAGCCCTGCTGCGGCAGTTAAAGCTTGGGACGACGAGAAACAGGATTATACGTACAGCAGCAGGGCCTGTAGCGCTGTGTGTGGTCACTACACTCAGGTACATATTACTTTTATAGCCACGGATACAGGGATCTAACGATGTACGCAACGCAGTCTTGAATAATATTTCCATATTCCCTGTAAAATTGAAGTTTTCAATATTGAATAACTTAAGCTGAGTGCGTATATTTTCCTTTAAATATCACATTAATTATCATTTGATATGTATATGTTTTTTTTCGTGGTGGTTGGGGGGGGGGGGGGGGGGGGTAAAGAACATTTGGTGGTACCATGATTTTGAATAAATAATTAATATTAATTTTGAAAATCATGGATGAGAAGGTAAGTTAATTTTGTATATATGACCTTGAAAACAAAAATTCACAACTGTATTAATTTTTCAATGGATTTATATTTTGTGGAATAAAACAGTATTTCTTGTTTCCATTTAACCTGTATAGGTTGTGTGGTCCAACTCTGAGTATGTAGGCTGCGCCTCCCACACGTGTTCATCATTTACAGGGTTAAGTTCAAGTTTCAATGGCGGGACCATTGTCGTCTGCAATTACGGACCAGGGTAAGCAAAACGGAAACACAACAAAATATCCCCTCCCCCCAAAAAAAAGAAAGGGGGAGGGGTTAAACGGAAATAAATTTTATTACTGTCCTTAAATGGAAATGAATATTGTTCATATATTAAAGCATTCATAGCATTATAATATTTACGGAAATCATTTACAATATTCTGAGCTGCTTTTCATGAGCATTCTGTATATTTCTCCTAATTCTAAATTAATACTAGTAATTTTGTTGTAGTGGGAACTTTAACGGGCGCCATCCTTACACGTCAGGGACACCCTGTACCGCTTGTCCCAGCGGGTACACGTGTACTAATAATTTATGTGACGACGGCAGCGGAAATTCAAACGTTGTGGGTAAGGACATGGACTGAGCTTTTTGTCATTATTAACAGACAAATTATGTGATGTCTATTGGAATTTATTTATGAATGTGTATTTTTCTTAATATCTAGTTTTAAATATAAAATAAAAATTTAAGCATTATTATTGTTACAAAATGAAATATACGATTTGAAGAAATCTACTTAATGTTCATTAATTTTTTTTTTTTACCCCTTCCCCCAAATATCATCAAGAATGAATATTTATTTTTTGGGATAAAAGATAATTAATTGTATATGCCCCTATATAAAAATTAATAAAGTTTGAGTATGATTTTGTAAATATTTTATTTACTTCTTAATTCACACTTTCGGAATAAAATGGTTCTTACGTTACGGTTTCTTTTTATTACCGAGAGTGTTTCATTTCCGAGCGGGTAAGCTATGAAATCAGAAGTGAGACTGAGAAGTTGACAAAAAATGAAAAAATATCGATGTTTAAGTTAATTTTGATAAATGAAAAATACTTTTTGCATCACTAAACGATAAAATGATTGATGCTGAGAATGCTCGCGACATTACACCAGTGTTTACACCAGAAGGTGGTTAAACTTTGCGAATCAGAGGAAGAAGTCGGAAGAAATTGCGGCTTAGACACTGTTAGAAAAATACATTTTCTATAAACAGACAATCTGTCGTTTTATCTTATTTTAATAAGAGAAAGTAGTGTTGTTTTTTTTTTTAATTTAAAATGTTCTAGGATGGATTGATCCACTGTTAGACGTATTTACATAAAGTAAGCACGATTGCTTTGCATGCATCTGGCATTGTCCCTGTTTCATTCCATTCAATCCATGTATAGTACAGGCGCCACATAGAGTTCCGTAACTTTGATTCTTTGAAAAATGCTGGGAAAATATTTGTATATCTTATTTCATTTGGTACTTTTCATGGAAATAATATTGATTTAATTGCTTCATTGTATGTTGTTTTATCAAAATTAATAACATTTTCAAAGACCTTTAACTTTGTAGTTTAGGAATTAAAAAGAACGAGGCCAAGAAGGTTGGGTGGCTGTTGATTAAACTAAAATATTTACTCTGGGCATTTACTTGTCATGATTATCATTAAAACAGTTTTTAGGGTCTAAAGTCATTTAAAATACATAAAGCCTTGAGGAGTGTTTAAAATCTGCTGAAATCCATTTGTTCCATTATTTTTATGTTAGTTTTTATTGGCACTTTACACAACCATAAATTTTTCTCAAAGAAAGGTTATTATTCAAGTAAATACAAGTAGTATAATGTATATGGGGTTGACTTCTTGAGTATTAAAAAAGTCATTGAAATTGTATCTGAAACTATGTATAATGATTGATAAGATAGATTAATTGGCCATGGTTTTAAATTGAAGTACACTCGTCCCTGTTTAAACTGTATCATTTAATTTAGCACATAATTCAAGGATTTAATAAAAATGTTATACTTCAGGTCATGTCCTCAGAACATCCCTATTGTATTCTGAAATTTAAGATTTTAGGTATTTATAAGGTTTAAATCACCTCCAATTCATGCAATATTAAATTACGGTCTATGGAACCAACTTTTATTTCATCTTCTTTATATACTGTTTCTATAAGAGACCAAGGCCATTTATGCCATTTAGAGTAAAAAAAATGTTATGATTAGACTGCATTTAGTTTGTGATGATATGACAAAATATTGATGTAGCCTCAAAGCAATGTATAAATTATTAACTTCAGCTCAGTGCAGATTGATTTTTTTCTGTACCTTTCAGAGCCAGTGATAGACTCAGTGAGTCCCAATGAAGGCAGTTTGTGTGGAGAGACACGCCTTCTTATCAGTGGGCGGGGCTTCTCGGAGGACAACATTAACGAAGGAAATCAGGTCCAGCTGGTGTCTGGGACCACCTCGTATGACTGTCCCGTCAGCAAGGATGGCACCACCGAGCTCAAAGTCATGTGCTACACACCGTATGTTGATGAACTGTCATTTCTTTCAAAAATTTAATAAAGTTTTCTATAAACAATTAAAAAATTCAAGTCCAAATGTAAAACACAATTGCACTAACATTTGAAAAATGCTTTGAATATGGATTTCATGGAGATGATTAATTAGATATTCTTAAATAACTTTTGCCAGATTTGGAACACACAGAACGCTATTTTATGTAATGATTTCCATCTCTTTTATTCACATATCATTTCCTCTTATTTTATCAATTATCAATAACATTGAAATTCCTGAACTACATTAACCACATTTTAAGAGACTTTTGTTATGATAATCAAGTCTCTTTATTAAAACTAATTAACCTTAGACTCATTATGCAATTCTTTAATAATTAAATGATAATATTTATGGGTTTTAGGCCAGGGATGAAAGATGATACATACTATGTCAGAGTTACCGTTGATGGGAAGAAGGTGCCAGAGAATAAACACTGTGGTGGGGCCACCAACAGTAAATGTCGCTTCCGGGTAAGAACCAGAAATCTACTCACCCCATTAAAGGGACTCTCAAATCACACAGAGTGATGGAAGGAGGGGCACAGGGAGGGGGCAACCTTGATCTCTTCCTTGTAGCTATAATTTCAGCTGAGTTTGATCTTATTTTTAGATGTTGTAATTATCTTTATCGTGGATGAACTATGTTCAATTGTTTCATCGGAAATCTGTTACCAGGTATACTCAGTATGTACTGCAAATATAAGATTGGTCAGTTGATCTAATAATATTTAATTATAATTTTTTAAGCTGCAGGATATAAATCAATGTATAGAGAGAAACATTTTTTATAACTTTTGTTTGTAGCCTCATTCTGGTAAAACTCCCACAATTACTTCCATTGACAATGAAGCAGTTGCCCCCGGTAGCGTTTTAACCATCAGGGGTAAGATTTTCACGGACCGCTTTGACACGAACGTGGAGGAAAGCTCAAATGGCAGGACTGCCAGAATTCTGAGGGTTTATGGAGGACCTATGTTGTGTGAGCTGAAAAAAGAAAATGAGAATGATGTCTTGTAAGTTCCTTAATTAAGCTTTCAGCAACTAGTTCTCATTGCTCGTTAAACAGAAACATTAAATCTACAAATAATATTTAATGTATTAGGCCTTTTAAATATAAAACTGTTTATTTCATGTTGGAACTATGTAATTAAATTAACATTTTAACATTGTTTGTGAGGTAGTGAATTTATTTACATTTAAATTGGAATTTTAAAAAGTTTTTTAGTCATAAAGGGAGAGAAATGTGTATTAGCATTTTGTACTTATGCTGTGACTAAAACTGAACCTATATTAACAGCTATGGAAAGGCCTTAGACAATGATGGCACAAGTGACAATGGATACATGAAGTGTAAACTTGGTGGAACTTTTATTGGTAAGTATTGGAAAAAATAACATTTGTTGTTATGATTAACTTGTATGGAATTTTAAAAAATTGTCTCATGTTAAAATCTTTAAATATCATGATTAAATTTTTTTTCATATTTAACTTTTCTCTTATAGGAAACAATAATGCCAGCTTCATTATTAGTGATGGATTTGGAAGGTATGTTGCTTTTTTATCAATTCAGAAAAAAATATGCATACATTGATAAACTCTTTAAAATGATATTACAAGTCTAGGCTGTCATAGCATTATATATGCAATTTCTTATATGCATCTATAGTAGTTCATTACACAGACAAAATGTATCAGCAATGATTAATAAGCATGTTGTAACGAAAATTATTCTTAGGTCGTGTCGTGATGGAAGCAGCCTCTTTCTGAGCCGTAATGGACAGATATACCAGTACCAGACCTACGCAGAGATTACGTCAATTTCACCAAACATCGGGAGTATCGAGGGCTGTACCACGGTAACCATCACAGGACGTAACTTTGACGACAAAGAATCACGATCAAAGACACAAGTCTTCATTGGAGGTGAGAAAATGACATGCATATTAAACTTTGACCTTTATGGTCACATCTAAACCCATAATAGATTTTAAGAGGAGGGGCTTTAGAATACATATTACACTAATTGATTGAGATTTTGAAGAAAAATAAATTCTTTTTATTTCAATGTGACAGGAGTGAAATGTGAGGTACAGTCTCTAACTACTACAGAAATTGTGTGTAAAACAGCAGCAAAGCCATCACCTGCCCCAACATCATATACTGGTAAATATATAATGTAAATACTGCAGCACAAGTCTCTGGCACATAAAGAGTCTAATCTGTCAAAGTGGAATGGGGAAGATTTAGTAACTAAAACTTTATCCAAATGTAAAGGAAAAATTTATCATAAGTCTAAAAATCATCTGAAAAATGTCAAAAATATTACTGTAATTTTGATACTTTGTCTATAAAGGTAACAGAGGATTAACCTTGGAGATCTGGAACCAGACCAGTAAGTCTCACTCTAACCTTGACGACGTCCTGCTACTAAACAGCTCAGCTGCCGACTACTTCCTGTCACACACAGATAAAACATACTTCACAGAGAACATGGACAACTACGTGTCCCGTGCCCGGGGTTACTTCATCCCTCCTTACAGCGGGATGTATTCCTTTATGATAATGGCTGATGATGGAGGAAGTCTTTACTTCAGTGAAAGTGACAACCCAAATGATAAGGTGACTTCAGAATAAATATTGTAGACTCATCTCCAAAATTAAGACAGTGCGCTAAACTATTGACTCTCATACGTTGCAATTTTACCTGTGTATCTTGATGTTATTTTCCCTTGATAAATTAATGATCTTTGTACTTGACAGTGTTTTAATTTTTTTACAGACTAAAATTGCCTTCTCTAAGTCATACACAAACAGATACAACAGATTCCCAGAGCAGACATCACAGAGGATCAATCTTACTGCTGACAAAAAGTGAGTGGATTCAAAAATCACTTGATATTCTATTTATAATTATAACAATTGTGTCTATAAGTCTTTAAAAGTCTTTAAAAGTCATTGACACACACACTGAACATTTGTGTTGCTAGATACTACATGGAAATCCTTCACCGAGAACATACAGTGGGAGCCTATGCAAAAGTAGCTGCTCATCTGTACGACACAAAACTGACCAACGAAAGCATGCCAGCTGCCAAGCAGGAGAACCAGAAAATCTCTGTTGGATCCTCCACCGTCAGGGAGAAGCAGACGATCACACTGAGTGGATTCTCCACCAGGAGCAGTGTGAACGAAGTCCAGGAGGTGGACCTTACAGAAAACAGTGGGAGCTTCTCTGATGCCTCCTTCAGGCTGGGGCTATATGGAGTCTATACAAGTAAGGGGAGATATTGATCTAGAGGAGGGCATTCAAATATTGCCAAAGTACATATGTCACAACTTTTCTAGTCATTCATGAATGATAATTTAAAGGAGACTTAAGTATTCCAATGTCAATAACTTGTTTATTGTATGTAGAACCTGTGTAATGTGAAGTAACTTCTCTCCACAGCTCTCCTGACCACTGCCACATCAGAAGCTGATATTGGGGCGGCTCTTCTACAGCTTCCTGTGTTTCATTCCTCTGAATCTGTTACTGTGTCTGCAGCACCTAAGGCTAACGGGGCTGGCCTTGTCTTAACCGTCACATTCTCCTCAAAGAGAGGTCAGTCATCCCCAAAGGACAGTAATTAATGCATGTGATTATATTACCTGAAAATGATTTTGAATTAAAATTGAACAGTTTGAGTTAGATTGTGTTGTCAATGGCCATTAAATCTGTTTTGCAGGTAATGTTGATAACCTTCAGTACAGGACTTACCCAGGCTCTAATGGGGAGACTCTTGGAATCTCTGTGACAGAGAAGAAATCAGGGGTACCCAATGGGGAATATTTCACCTTGTCTATGGCCGGAGTTACTTCCCCTCTTTTGGCCTATGATTTATCTGCCAAGGATGTAAGTAAACACTTGAGGAACATGACCACATGATACTGCATTTAATATTTGAAATGTGGTTTAATACGACATGAAAATCAAGTTCATGTACATATATCTGTCAAAATTTTGAAGCAATATTTGAGAAAGTTTTATTGTGGAGCGCTACATGATAATAATGTTTTATTACAGTTGAAAACAGGCTTAAACCAACTATTTGGTGTCAGATGTCCAAAAGCCATTGCTAGTCCAGGAGCCACCAAAGTGCATCACACCTTTGAAGGGGGTATCCCAGGGGGATTAGGAGGCAGCAGAGTGGGGGATGAAGAAGCCTTCTGTGGAAAGTTCTCGGTGAAAAACCCCTGGTACCTCTTTAGAAATGATGATACTGGTCTTGCCCTGGGGCAGAGTGTCCGAATGGTGGGTACCATGCAGCAAGGAATTTTTTCAAAGAAATTTTTGAAATTACATGGAATTATACTACCTACATATATGATTTTGAAATAAATCTTATTTTTCTTTAATGATTTTTTAGCTGTGCTTTGCCTACAAAGGATTACTGAGGGACTCAGTGAGGCTTTATTATTCCTACACAGATGCACAGAGTGTCAAACAAACAGGAAAATCTACCACATTCTCACACACCATGGATAAAACTGCTGAGTAAGTCACTAAATGCTGGTTTGAAGGGTATATATAGAAAATTCATCTCAAATGACAATAGATAAAGATACTTAAAAACAATTCCTTTTGCAACACACCAAAGAATTTTTAAAAAATCCTCCATTTGTATGTGAACAATGATTTCTTAGTGTACACTTAGATACACTATTTAATAGATAAATATTCCATGCCTTGAAAACTTTCGATGGCTATTTGAAGGAAAGCCTACACACAGCCTTAAAACATATAATATTAATAAACTCATTTTCAGTGTGTGGAAGTACACGTGTTTTGACATGTACACTGGCCTGACAGGAAATCTTCCGACCGCAACAAATTTTATCCTGACTCGAGCCCAGGTGTTCCGAGAGAGCGCTGATGTAATGTTTGATGAAGTGATCATCGGGCGACAAAAACCTCTAGCATCTGATGCTGACATGTGTAAGTATCAAACAGACTCTTATTTCTCTAAACAGAGTATTTTTCATGGTAAAAATCTACTTTTTGAACTAATATTGATTGAGTTGTGTTCGACTCACATTAATCTGATTGTGTGGAAGCAAACTTTCACTACTGTAGATCTCTAAATTTTCGTAATGCCTTATTTTCGCAAGATAGTCATTGATTCTTGATGAGTGAAACAAATTTTTCAGGAATTGTGGTTATTGCTCTATATAATTCTAAGGAATACTATTATACTGTACGTGAAAATTAAATTTTCGCGATCACACTGTCTCGCTTAATTACGTGAAAATAAAGTTCTCACAAATAAAAAGTGATTTACATTGGCAGTACATATTGCTTTCAGCTACTGTGAATAACCTGAGAATGAAGCCCTCCTTACCCAATGGTTACAGAATGGAGGACCTTGATGTTACCAAGACAACAGTCAACAATGAGCCTACTTATGAGGTCAAGTTGATTCCTTACGATTGTGGCTACAATTTCCCGAAATTCAAGTCAATTAATGGCCAGGTAAGGGATTAAGACTGTAATCTCCTTTAAATATTTTTAATGTTTTTATTTTTATCAATTTTAAATGACAAAAATAATAACATATTTTTTTTAAATGTTGTCAAGCTCAGCACTTGAAAAGCCATAAAATGTATTGTATATACATGAAATGTACTATTTAAAATCATGTACACTTTGGTTGAAAACTCAACACAAACGCATGAAGAGTGGATGTATATAAACACTTTATTTGCTTTGTCTTTAAATTTATATCTTCTTTCCGTATATCTGTTTTACTAAAAAAATATTTATGGTGTACGCATAACTTGTAAAATGGTGTGTTGTTTGCATAGCAGCTCTTCGTTACTTACTTGTTTGGTAGAATTTTCATGTGCACATAAAGAACTAAATAGTTTATGTACATGTATCTCATCCTCTCGTATTTACACACTCTGGGACTTGATTTATTATTTGCACAGTATATCAATCTGGTATCCTATTTCTTCCTATTTTAAAAAGCACTACATGTGTAGATCAATGCTTTTGCACATTCAAGTTCTAGTTTGAATTAATTTATAAAATGGAATTAAGAATTAAATAGGTTAAGAGATAAAAAAAAATAAGTTTTGGATTAAAGAAATAATAAGATAACCTAGAATTATTGATGTTCACAATTCATTATATGAATGAACTTGTATTTTCAACATTGACTGAATTAATGTCAAAAATCTACCTTATCTATTAGTTTTAATTTCATGAATTTAGAAAAAAAACTGAAATAGCATAATAAAATATACATGTATATATTAAAACAAGAAAAGTGCCCAGTATGTCAAAAATCAAATTATTGAAAACTTAATTATTATCTTTATTTTTCAAAAATGAAACTGTTTAAAAAGCTCACTTGTCTTTTTGTATAAAAAATATTAGTAAATATGCACAGTATATTCTCTTGTCTTTGTGTGATGTTCATACTTACTAACAAATCCTTTCCTTTCTACTTCACTTGTGTTGCTTAGCAACATAATGTGTCTGATTCCCAGGTTGTGTCGGGAGGGTCAGTATCCGTGGCGCGTACCCAGACGGCCTCTCCCCCCGTACAGGGCAGCTTCACCGTGACCTTCGCAGGAAAGTCTGTATCAGGTACGTCCTTAACAGCAAAATAAATCACATCTCCAGCCATACATAGTTAAAAATTAGTTCAGGTAGATTGTTCAAACAAATCAAATTCATGTGATACTTTTTGAAAATTCATTACATTTTTTAAAACCCATTTATATAGAAAAAATGAAATGATTAAACAAAGATATTTTCCAAAACATAGAGAGTTCAAATATTATTTAAATCTTGTAAATTTGGCCTTGTAGGAATTCCTTATGATGTGACGGGGGAGTCTCTGATTGAGATTCTAGAGGCCGGAATCCCTGAAATGGGGAAAGTCTATGCTTATCGCCATGGAGACTGCACAGCGTTTGACCTGAGCGTGGCTTTCCTGACCAAATCTGGGGATCAGGAAGAAATGCAACTCACAAGTCAGCTGAGTGGGGTTGATGTTACGTTAAACATTTCAACTGTAGTCGACGGAGGAATTACTTTTGACCCAATTCAGGGTGACATGTTGCTGACATACAACGACAAACCACAGGTGATGGCCTACATTAACGACATCCCCACTAAATGCAGCGGGGACTGTACGTTTGAGTGGAGCATGTCAGCGACCATGACTGTCACCTCCGTCACCCCCACAACAGGTATAAGTCAACTGTTACTGTTCATAATTCTCCCAGATACAAGGATATCAAGAATAAAAGTGCTGCATTCTCCCTAATGTTTACCAGCAAACATTTTGAAATTCACAATTTTTTCTGGTAACTTGTAAATATCAATCCTCTGTTTTCAGCTACTGCAGGAAGTGACATCACCATTACTGGTACAAATTTCGACACAGTCCACTCCAATCATAACATCACTATTGGTGGTGTGGCCTGCACCCCAAAATCCTCCACAACCACTCAGATTGTGTGTACAGTAGGCAGTGGGCCGTCTGGCTCTTATCCAATAGAAATTGTTCTAGCATCCACGGGTTGTACCTACAACGCTAATGGAAATGTGACCTTCACCTACCCATTCCAGTTGTCTGGCGTTTCTCCTCTGTCATCAAACCTTGGAGGTAATGAATTGTTGTTAAGTTATTCGTCACATGATCATGGCATTTGAAAGAAATTGATTTGATATACACATAAGTGTTCCAAAGGTAACTGTTTCTTTGTAAATCATTTTCGATATTTTTCATGTGTTGTGATCTTTGACCTCTATTACAGGTGGAGTTGACATCACCTTGACCGGGTACGGCTTTGGTGATAAGGATAATATCACCATTGGTGGATCGACCTGCAACAAAAAATCTTCCACTTCTACACAAGTTGTCTGCATCGCCCCAAGTTCTGTAAGCTGTGTATAAACATTAATAACATGTGCTTGTGCATTTGACAAAATTGATTGAATCACTCTGAGTCTTCATTGTTTATTAAAACTGTTTCATTTCCCTCCAGACCACAGCTACTTCAGGAGACATAGTTGTCCACCAGGCCAGTGGGGGGACGGTTACTTTTGGAAGCCAGTATAGTTACACCGCCACAGGAATGGCCGTCATTTCTTCTATCAGTCCCTCCACCATATCTGTAGGAGGTCAGTGCACTATAATGAAATCTACTCACTCAGTTCCTCAACCTTTTAATACAAAGTCAATAGTACACATGACCTTGTCAGTAGAAGGATGTATAATTAAATCTGCTTTGTTTTTAGGATTAATATATCTGTAAAGTGTCAGTAGGATGTCAATATAATTACATTAGGAGGGTGTCAATATACATACATGTACATGTATTAATTATGAAGACTATGTTGTAAGGGTGTCAATACATAGCACCTTGTCATTAAAGTCTCAATTAATCATCTACCTAATCAGGAATATGGCAGTAGTTAAGTAATTTAAAATTCTAAATCTATGATTTTATTTCCTTGAAATATTTACAAAATATGATTGAGCAGAGATGAACTTTACAAAATTTAGAAGTAAAAACACAAGGTCAGCTAAAGCTAGACAAAGAATCAACCAGAATTATGGAAAATTTCTCTGAAGAAACTAAAATAAAACTTTTTATTTAATACATGTACAGTTTTTCTTCCAATTTGTTTTCGTAGGAGGTGACACTCTGACAATTAGTGGTTCTAACTTTGACCTGGCCAGCAAATTATTCATTGGTGATTCTGAAGTCAACACTACTGCTGTTACAGCCACACAGGTTACAGCTGTTCTCCCCGCCATGCCGCCAGGAAACTACCCCATCAAACTCGAAGGCTCCAATGGATATGCTGTTGATGGGTAAAAACAGTTTTTCCTTTTTCCAGTATCTTGAGTTCATGTTAGTTTATTGAGAAAAGAAATTGTTTTCAGCAACTAGATTTAAACATTAAATTTTTAATTTCATAAACATTTTATTTTTCTCACTGCATGGTTTGTTTTGACTTTGCAGTTTAATGGTTTCTCATTTCAGTTCAAACAACATTCCATCTCTGGACGTCAAGTTCCATATCACCAATGTCTATCCCCTCCAAGGGTCAGTGATGGGAGGAACCCGGGTCACAATCACCGGAGAGGGATTCTCTACCAACACCACGGGGACAAAGGTCAAGGTCGGGCAGTATGACTGTGTCATCGAGTCGGCTACGTCCACACAAATCATGTGTCTTATTCAGGACAGCGCCACCGTCCACAAAGTGGACAACCAGGGCATCCATCCGCGTAAGACCATGTGTTTGTTTTTTAATCTCACATATATTATATCAGCTAAAGTGATCTTTAAATTGTGCTCACACAAGTTAAGTAAATGTTTGAATATAAGCTTTAGCATAAATCTTGACATATTACATCATTTTATGAATAGAAAATTTTGAAACAGCCATCAGTGTATCATTTTTCCTCTTTGTTTCAGAATTCAAGCTGTCTGGCTATGCCTGGAACCCTAAGAACCTGGAGATTTTCACTGGAGACATAGTGGAGTGGAGGTGGTGGTTCGCCTCCTACATCACTGGCTTCACCCCCAGGGTCGTACAAGTCAAGGATGAGCTGTCCACAGAGGCGGTCCCAGGGGGCTTCAATAGCGGCACACCAGCTGCCTCAGGTAATTAATTTGTGATGCCAAGGTGCTTTAGCAAGGCACTCCTTTGGAATACTGAGATATTTCAGATAACATTACTCAGTGATAAAAGGTGGAAATGATGTTATATTGCTTACCCAAGTCCAATGTTAGCAAAGTGGAAGAGATTATGTACATGTGTAACACTGACACCATTTTGATTTTTGTACAGGTGTGTTCAGACACAGGTTTACTGTGGCTGGTAAATACTGTTACTGGAGTGACTACTGCGACCTCTACAAGACAACCTTCTTCAGGGGATGTGTTAACGTGGTAGACAGGCCCTCCACATCTCATGGCGAAGTCTCAGTCACCATGGGACAGATTGAAGCCCAACACGTTGTAAACTCAGGTACCTTTTTATCCAAACAACAGTGGAATCTTCAGTTACACATGTCTAGCCATATATACTTTGATTTTACCTTTTGATTATAGGTGTATCTAATCCTGTGGATAATAGTGCCTGTAAGGGCACCACTGGTATCATCCCCAGTTGTTCAGTTCCACCTGCGTCTCCATCAGGCGCCTCTAAGTTCCAGTTCACGTTCTCTCGATGCTCTACCCCGGTGATCTCCTCCATCAGCCTCCAGAGTGGCTCCTCCCAGGATGTTATTGACATTGAAGGGGAAGGATTTAGCTCCACAGAGTGCCAGAACGAGGTCTACTTCGGAAGCAACCTCTGCCTTGTGACAGCCGCAACATCCACCAAAATCTCCTGCAACATTGACCCAGCTAACGCACCCGAGATTGGAATCATGGAGGAAGTCAGAATGAGACATAACAATATGGGCAATGCTCTGGTTCAGATAACTGGACAGACCTTGAGAACTTTTGCCCTGGTCCCTGAGGTTACAGACATTCTTCCTCCCCTGGGGTCAGTAGAAGGTGGTAACGAGATTGAGATTGTGGGGACTGGCTTTGCTGATGGTATCTGGGTAATGGTGACCATTGGAGGGTATTCCTGCCCTGTATCTGAAGCCTCATACACCTCCATCAAATGCACAGCTAGAAAGCTGAACTCAGCTGGACCTAAGACCCTGGAGGTGTCAATAACTTCTCCCACTGGCAGTTCTATTAAAGCTAAGTGTGGCGTGGTGTGTCAGTATGTATATGATCCTAGTGTCACCCCTAAGTTGGATAGTGTGACCCCAGACACTGTTGTGGGTGGGTCTCCCACTACCCTGACTTTCAGTGGGTCTAAGTTTGGGACTGTGTCATCAGCTGTGTCTGTCACGGTTGGAGATGAGATCTGCACGGTGTCTTCAGTCTCTGACACTACTCTTGTTTGTGCTATCACCTATCTCCCAGCCGGAGCTAACACAGTGAAGGTCCTAGTCTCAGATGTAGGTCTTGCCGAGGCATCTCTCTCTGTGACTGGAAACACCACAATCACAAGCATGTCATCCACTGATGGCAGTACCCATGGTGGTTCAAAGCTCACCATCGAAGGAAACGGCTTCATTCCTGGTACAACTGTTGATATTGATGGATCAGCCTGTGCTGTCACTGAGATCAACCTGAACAACGTGACCTGCACCACACCGGCCCACGCTGCTGGATCAGTCAAGGTCACGGTCACCTCTAACAGTCAGACTTACCCACAGCAGGATTACACCTACTCCACCACCAGCACCCCCTCTATCACAGGGGTCAGCCCAGCACTGGGGTCAGCAGGAACCACCGTGGTGCTGACAGGACAGAACTTTAGAGCCACCAATGCTGAGAACACAGTCACTATCGGTGGTGCAAACTGTGCAGTGACATCTTCATCTGTGACGGAGGTCAGATGTACTGCTGGTGTACAGAATGTTGGCTCATTCCCTGTGGTACTGACCGTGTCTAACAAAGGGAAGTCAAACAATGACCAGATGTTTGAATATCAATTGTCACTGTCGTCCATTTCACCTGTCAGTGGTAAGCAATTGTAACATTTCATTCACTTGAAATAATGATTTGAGCATAATAATTTCAATATTTTTTGTATCAAAAGTCATTAAGTCAGATTTTCTTTAATTTGGAGCTGTAAAGCTGCATTTTGAAGATTTTTTCAATACCTATTTATAGGGAGCAGTGCTGGTGGACAGACTGTGACATTGTCTGGATCTGGATTTGACTCTGGGACGACAGCCACAGTGTGTGGTCAGTCATGTGTGAAGGTCGTCAATGCCAGCCAGACAGCTGGAAACTTTATCTGTCTCACTCCAGCGGCCACTGGTAAGTTCTCCTCAGATGTCTTCAGTAGATTTCTGATTTTAGTTTTTGGTCAGTTTCTTAGCAGTTTGCAATCCAAACACACAATTAAATCATTTATTTGGTTGTGAAGTCTTTTGTGATTGAATTCTTACTTTTGACAGCCCCTGTAGTTGGTACCCAGGCCTGTGATGTCGCAGTGACAGAGAATGGGGTCACCAAAACACTAGCTGGAGGTTACACCTACGATGCTTCCAAGACGGCCGAGATCACGGGGGTCAATCCCGCCCGGGGAGGTACAGGGGGAGGAACGTCACTGACCATCTCAGGGACAGGGTTTGGGTAGGTGGACTCTCTGTATAGCAATAAAGTAACATGTGTCTTTACTCAGTACTCAAGCATGGCCTTGCTACATACAGTGTCAGAAATGATATATACATGTATTTTAGAAAAAAATTGTATTTTATGTCTGATTTTGATTATTTTTTGTAACATGGTTGTTGCATTATGTTTGATTTTGTTGCAGTACTGTTAAGGCTGATGTTACAGTTAAAATAGCCGGTACCACTTGTGATGTTTCAACAGTTACAAATACTCAGATTGTTTGTACCACAAACCAACATTCCAAGTCAGAGAAAGTTAATATTGAGGTGGAGGTTGCTGGTAATGGAATTGCCAATCAGGTAAATTGTTGTGATTGGTAGGAAAATTGTTCATTTGAAATGTTCTCTCAATTAAAAGATATCCAATAAAACATGACATATTACTGAGGAAGCCATTTCCATTGAAATTTTGTTATTCTAGTTTTTTGGTCTCGATGATTATCTCTTTTTTTACATATTAACCCTTTCTGTCCCTCTCTCTTCAGACATCAGCGGAGTTTTTCTACGTGGATGTGTGGTCGTCTCCCTTTACCTGGGGTGGGGGACCACTCCCTAAGGAGGGGGACATGGTGGTCGTCAGTAAGGGTCAGAATATCCTGCTGGACGTGGACACACCCAAACTGAAAATCGTCCTCATCAGAGGTATGCCAGTCAACACAAATAAGACTTATCTCGTATAAACCTTAATTAATGCAGTCAAAAAGTTGTATGTGTTCGTAACTATACTTTCCTTTATTTAATAGGGGGTGGATTGATTTTCGATGAAAAGGATCTTCATCTCCAAGCAGAAAACGTCTTGATTACTGACAATGGTTTGCTTCAGGTAAGCTAAGGTAGCTCTTGATTGTTGGATTTATTCCCTCCTGATATGCTGCATTATTTAATGAAAGTGAAATGTTTTCAAGAAATAATGACTGTGTGCTTCACACTTGTTCATGGTGTATTTTATTGTAGATTGGTACAGAAGCTGAGCCTTTCCAACATAAAGCTCTCATCACACTACACGGCCATCACCGCAGTAAAGAGTTCCCAATCTACGGAGTCAAATCAATCGCTGTCAGGACAGGAAGGCTGGAGCTACATGGTAAATACTCGCTTTCTATTGACACCTGATACACTAAAGTTTGTTAATGTTTCGTTGATTCTCACTATGATGACTTATGTGTTGATAGGTAAGCCAGTTGCCACGACCTGGACAACCTTGGCCTCAACAGCCAGTGCTGGAAGTTCCACAATTGTTCTGAAGGACGCAGTGACATGGAAACAAGGTGATCAGGTCATCATAGCAACAACCAGTCATCGTCACTCCCAGAGAGAGAATGAGTTCAGAACCATTCAGTCCGTCGCTGGGGACCAGAAAACAGTTACCCTGACGCAGCCCCTGACCTACGAACATCTGGGAGTGTCCGAGATGTTTGACGGCACCCAGGTGGAATTCAGGGCAGAGGTTGGCATGGTAACAAGGAACATTAAGATTCAGGGAGCTAGTGATTCACAATGGGTGGAGAAGATTGAGGCCTGCCCTGATGGATTTGATACAGGTAACACTTAGACTAATTAGGTTAATTGTTATCTATTGTAATTACCAAGAGATTTTAGAGAATGCTAAATTTTTAAATGCTATGAAATTACAGGTGAATTTGCCACACAGACCTGTTTCCAGGGACGGTTTGGGGAGGAGATGGGCAGTGATCAGTTTGGAGCTCAGATCATGATTCACTCTCCTGTCCAGAACCAGCTGCTCTCTCATGCTCACATTGAATACGTGGAACTGTTCCATGTAGGACAAGCCTTCAGACTCGGTAGATACCCCATCCACTTCCATTTGAACGGTGACAATACTGGCTCCTATGTCAGGGGATGTGGAATCCATGAGTCCTTCAACAGAGCCATAAACATCCATGGAAGTCACAACCTCCTGGTGGAGAGAAATATCGCCTACAATGTGATGGGTGGAGCCATGTTCTTTGAGGATGGAATTGAGACTGGAACCACCTTACAGAGAAATTTATTGATCTTTGTAAGAGAGAGCTCCAGCTTGCAAAATGATGATGTTACACCAGCTGCCATTTGGGTTACCAATCCCAACAACACAATTCAGTATAATCATGCTGCAGGTGGATCCCACTTTGCTTTCTGGTACAGGATGCATGCTCATCCAGACGGACCTTCCTTTGATCCCAACATTTGTCCTCAGCGTGTTCCTGTGGCAGTGTTCAAGGGAAACGTTGCTCACTCCAATGGCTGGTTTGGACTGTGGATCTTCCCCACTATGACCTCCAGGGATGGAGGAGGTTGTGGCTCTAACACTCCTTACCAGTCTGTTTTTGAGGGTCTGACAGCATGGAACAATGAAAAAGGAGCTGAGATGGTCAATGGTGGAGCTTTCATTATGAGAGACTTTGTTCTCGTCAACAACAAACTTGCTGGGTTTGAAGGAAAGAAAATTTTGGAAGGCGAGCAAGTCATTCAGAATTCTCTTATTGTTGGTCATGCCAACTCTCTCACTAGAGTTGAACAGGGGTGCACAAGGGGAGGTGTTGTTGTGCCTTACGGTTATGGATTTAAGATAGATGGTGTAAGATTTGTTAACTTTGATGAAAGTGGATGTGCCACAATTGCCACAGCTAGAATCACAGGCACCTGTTCTTTCCTCTGTGGAGGTTTCCTCTACCACACTCAGGCACTGAGATTTGTGAATGCTCCAAACAAAGGGAGGTATGAATGGTTGTGGGAGTCGGTCTTCAAAGACGTTGATGGTACACTGATCGGGGAGACAGGAGACGCGGCGTCAATTGCAGCCAACGTCGGAAAAACCGTCATCTCCACCTCAGATACCCTCCCTCCGTCCTGTATTCCATACCCAAAATTCAGCACCGGAGTTGCAGCCAGTGCCTGTGACCCAAGTGTCAAGTTCCACAGGTTTGCTTTCAATGAAATCTCACCTAGTTCAATCCAGTACAAGGATGCTATCTTCATTAACCGATTTGGAAATGTGACAAATCCCTACCGCAAGAAGGCTATCACTCATCCTAAAGGCTGGAATCTTAACTTAGTGGATGGAGAAGAATACGAAATAATATTTGAAAATGCTGAACATTTATCCAATATCAGTTACAATGGGAGATTTGATCTCTTCACAGAGGTAAGTGAATGTTTAAAATCATATGGTACTGTAAAACTTTTTTTATTTGTGAGAACTTTATTTTCGCGATATTACGTGAGATGGTATGCTCGCGAAAATTTTGTTCTCGTGTATAATAGAATTCCTTAAGATTATATAGAACAATGACCACAATTCATGGAAATTTTGTCTTGCCAACAAATAGTCAATGACAATCTCGCGAAAATAAGGTGTCGCAAAAATTAAGTGATCTACAGTAACGAAATATGAATAATAACTCTGAGAATTTAAATGATTAAAATCTATGTATAAAATAAAATGAAATTTATTATAAATGATTCTGACTGTTTTTGTAGTCTGGGGGCTCTGCTGACTATGTGATCATTAAACAAAAGTTGAACAAGGCACCGGATCGTTTTATGATGGATGGTAGAACTCACAAGAACGGATCTCAGACCAGCATAGACCCGAACACTGACCCTCACGGAACCTGGGAGTACGTCACATCAGACAAGCAGATCAAATACTTAGGTAGGTACATGTAATGTGTGGACATGGCAAGTACACTTATCTAAGCCTGTGCCCCATATCCAATTAAAGCGGTGTCTCTGTAACCCAGATAAGAATAAGCTAGACACTTCATTTTGATAAAAAAAAATTGGAGGAAAAAAAAAAAATATATATCAATCAAGTACATATAATTAGTGTTTTATTTATCTGGACACACTAATATCCAGATGTTTTACAGGGGAACACAAGTACCTTAGTTAAGTAGGCTCAACTCTAAATGGAAAATTAGTTTTTAAATTACATGAGGATGTTTCTTGAAAATACGTTTGTACTTAAATATTTTATAACAGTTTCATATTTGCTTGATAGTAGACAAACATAATTGAAGTTACATAACTAAAACTTGTTTTAGGTAATCTTTTCTATATTTGTAAAGCAGTTTTGTACAATTTGTAGTGTCTGCCAGAACTACTAGCTCGAGTCCAAGCTCGAGCCCAGCCCCTCCGTCTGGGCGTAAGAAGCGAGCGTCACCCTCGGCAGCAGTAAGAGCAGATAATCTGAAGGTCAACTTTGTCTCCTACAAATGTTTCTTCACCGACTGTATTCCCCCGCCTGACCCTAACACTATACCCCCGGTGGACACGCCCCCCGCAGAGGTCCAGCTGTGGTCTGACAAGGCGACCTGGAATGGGACAGAGCCAGGGTGGGGAGGGTATAATAATGGATCATATGACCTCCCGGTGAATGGCGATAATGTCAAGATTCCACAAGGTAAATTACACTTTTTTCTTTTAAATGTAAACATGCAAAAATGTAACTGCAAAGTTTGTGCCTACAGAAATTTTTCCTGCTAAAAATGGTTCGTAAACATTGTGGAATGTGATTTAATCCCTGTGGTGAAATGTTGACAGGTAAATGGGTGGTTGCTGACACCGTGCTGCCTCAGATGGGTAAACTGGTTCTCTACGGAACACTGCAGCTGGACCACAACAACGGGACCAGGGACTTCGTGTTGAACTGTACCTATCTCGTTATTCTGGGAGGACGACTTGTTGTGGGATTCCCTAATGAACCTTTCCTGTCAAATGTCCTCATATCTCTCCAGGGAGACCATGACACTAATGTATTTACAGGAATTAGTGGTCCACCTATTGGGTCAAAGGCCATAGGTCAGTAGAATCTTTTTTTAGTCTTAAATAGAAATAGCTTGATGTAAATTTTCTTATTTATACTGGGACATATCTCTTATGAAACAACTCTCTTTTTGAACTTAACAAATTGTAAAGAGAACAAATCTGCAAAAAACTTTTTAAGTTGAGAAGTTATAGAGAAGAGTTTTTGTTTATTTATGTGTCTATACAGTAGAGTAGACACTTAAATCTTATTTCAACTGATTTTATTTTTATGTTTTATACAGCTGCTTTTGGTGGCCTGGATCTTCACGGAGTTGATAAAGGGGAGAGCTGGACCCAGCTTACACAGACAGCAAATGTTGGAGATACTCAGCTCGTCCTTCAAGCTGCCGTCAACTGGACAGTTGGGGACCAGATTGTTATAGCTCCCACGAGCTATGACGCACGGGAATCTGAAAAGGTGACCATCACGGCGGTGTCAGGGGACAAAAGAACTCTCACCATCAACACCCCCCTCCAGTACAAACATATAGGTAACTATTTAGATACATGATATACACATTTACTTGATACATGCTTCTCGATCCCATAAGAAGATCTGTTAACAGATATATGTACTCTATTATCTCAATATTTTGATAGTTCATGTTAAATTTAGAAAAGATTAAGTCATTTGTCCCTCTAACTGCACCAGAATTTTGTATGTCTTGGTTAAAACATGTGCATGTGTTTCTTTGTTCCTTTTCACATGTTTACAATATTTTTATATGTACTTGTAGCTCACACAGAGACTGCTAATGGAATGTCTATCAAAATGGCTGCTGAAGTCGGACTGTTGAGCAGAAACATCAAAATAGAGGGTGGAGCCTACCTCAAGCAGGAGGGGCAGTCCTTCGGGGCCAGGATTGTCGTAGGACAAGGGGCTGAGGGGACAGAATCTTATATTGGTACGTCATAGATAGCAAGTACAATGCTACTAAATTTAGATAAGAGTCAGCAAGTTCTTTCCTCATAATACATAAAGAATAAATATGAAAAAAAAATGAAGAATCATGATATTTCTTACCAATATTTTACTTGAAGGAAGATTTTTTATTTTATGTAAGAACCCTGAAACAATGCATTTTGTTTTGTTGCAGGATATGCCAGAATTTCCAATGTGGAGTTTGTACGCAGTGGTCAGGAAGGTTACACTGATCCTTGGGACTCTAGGAGTGCTGTGGCCTTTATTGATGCTGGAACTGTGTCAGCTATAAAGCCGTCCTACGTCAGAAGCTGTGCCTTCCACCACAGTTACGCCCCAGCGGTTACAGTGTACGGCACCAATAACCTTCCAATAGAGTGGAACGTGATGGCAGATAATGTCTGGTTTGGTAAGTTTGAAAAGAAAGTTGTTTCCCTTTGTACATAAAAATTGGATTGACCAAAATATTTCTATTTTGAATCTAGATAATTTGTAAGCAAATTGTAAATAAGTTGATTTTGAGTGCTTATTCAAGTTTGTAAATCATCATTTTAAAAAATTTCTGTACAAATTTCTGCTTTCCAGCCATTGAATCAGAAAGCGACAACACACAAATGCGTAACAACTTCATCACGAGGACTCAGTGGGAGGGATCTTACCAGGACCGACAGGAGACGTTTAACGTCCGGTACAACGGCGCCATAAATCTGGTCAAGGCCACCAACCCTGTCCTGGAGTACAACCACGTGGGAGGATGTGAGAGGGTCGGATTCGCAATCCTCGGGGAAAGATGTAATGCCCCCGGGAAATTTGTTGGCAATGTGGCTCACAGTTGTATGCTGGGAGTTGCTAATATAATGGAAACTCTAACACGTAAGTTTGAAAATCTATTATTTTGCTGACATTTTAAGACCTTTGCAAAGTGTTTGTTTCCTACATGTTTAAAAATTAAAAAAAGGGGAGCCATGAGGGAAAAAGCAGTTCTGAGTGGAAAATAACACACTTAATAAATGCAACAAATATTTTCTTAACTTGAAATGTTTGTATCTGTAATTAAAAGATGCAAATTATTTTTGCTTTATTGCTATTTTAATAAACTTTAAGCTGATTTGGTGCCTTGTGCCAAGTTTGCCAACTTCACAGTTTGGAAGAATATGGACTATGGTATATACTACCAGAATGGAGCTTCGAATGAACTCTCGGACATATTGGCAGCTGACAATGGAGTCAACATTTTCCAGTTTATTGCCGGCCCGAGTGCCACGGGACATGCATTTGCTGATAAATATACTACTCTGAAGAACTCCCTGATTGTAGGAACCTCTGGAGCGTTTGACTGTGCCACGGATAGACTGCCGAATGACGATTATGTTTCACTGGGTGCGAACTCCAGGAGACACTGCGGGAGCAACATGAGGGTGGGCGTTACCATGCCAACCTTCTCTTCTGGACCTAACTCTGCTCCTGGGAAACCGTTCGCAGGAGTCAAAAAATATCAGGCCATCAACGGGAGATTCCACATGGAAGGTTTGTAATTATATTGATGCTAGGTATTGTTTGTATAGCAGATAAAAAATGTTTAGTTTCTCAAACATACATGTACTGTAAACATGGAAATTTTGACAATGTGCTAATTTTGACTATATTGACAATTTTTCTTTTCTCGTTAAAATTTACACTAGTCAAACTTCATATCTTATATAGAGCGTCACAACAGACATGGACCATTGTACATTACTGCAAAGTTTTTTGGGATTCCCCTATTAAAACTAGATCAAAGTTATTGTTAATTTCCTTAGTAATTAGCAATGAAAACACAGAGATATATAATCACATTTTTTAAAACCATTGAATCTAAACTCAAAATACTGCATGCGTAACTTAGCGTAATTTTCACACCTTGCTTGACCTAGTTTGTCACCTCAGGCAATTGACCGCTTATAATGAAAACAAATTACAAGAGGGCAATTTATTTAATTAATTTTTTTCAGATAGTTTATACAATCTTACACATTGTAGATAATCTGTACAAAAAAATATTTTACCGATTCCGATGCTGTCTTTTTATTCCCATGAATTCAAAGATATATAACTCTTGATTAAATTTTTTGTCAAAATTAACACCAGTCAATTTTCGTAAACAAAAAGTCGTCAATTTTTCAACTCGTCAATATAACCACGTTTACAGTATATATTTTAAGTACCATGAAAATGTCAAAGTAAAAGAAAGTCTATATTATTTTCTTTTTGGGTATTTTAACTCTGATTTCTTAATTCCTTTAAGTTTTTCTAAAGGGCTTAGTTTGAAGTAACTGTTTGAATTATTTATTTGCCCAACATCTTTTGATAAATTATGATCTGTGATCATTTGTCATTTATCTTCAAGGATGTTTTAATATTTGTTTTGAATTATAATAGATTCATCATTTCATCACATTGTAATATTATCTATTTTTGGTTACAGATGTGACTTTTGCTAAGTTTTCTGATGTCTGTAACAATGGTGGTGATTTCTCCGTGACACCTAACGCTGGAAATGATGATGGTAATCACCCTATGTACACCAAGCGCGTGTCCTTTGTGGATGTAGCCTCAGATTACAAGATTAAATACTGGCGATCCAGCATTGGGTAAATACACAATCCTACTCCCCCCCTGTAGAGTCCAAGTTTAGTCTTTAGAATATATTTATTGTTTATTTTTTACCTGTAAATTGGAAATGTATTTCTGTATAAGTTTGAAAATTATTTTACATTCTGGTCAATCAGCACAGAATAGATGTACAAAGTTAATGACTTTCTCAAAATGTAGAAGCAATGAAAAAAAGAACAATAACTTTTTGGCCATTGAATTTCGTATAATAACTTATTTATTTATCATGGATGTAGTAAAATCAACTCCGCTGACTGTGTGGACATGGCATGTGATGCTAAGGTGAAATCCCTGATGGTGGATGAAGACGGAACATTCCTGGGATCCCCTGGGTCTGTAATCCCACAGTCCGAGTACCAGTGGAACGGAGATCCCAGAATGGGATTAGGAGACTACAGGATTCCCAAGGAGATGCAGACCAGACTGGACGGCACTAGAATTCCTGTGTCAGTGTTAGCTCCAAATAAAGGTAAATAACGGAACAATAGAAACACAGGGTTCTCTCTTTATTCAAAAGAATATAATTTTTAAAAAAATAATAATAAATGCGTAATTTTTCATGACTCTGTTTCGCTATGGTGATTAAATTTTATGACAGCCACTGTATTTAACCCCATTAAGATGACATTTGTTAATCGTTTTGCAGGAATTATCCGAACAAATAATTGTGTGTACCGTGACAAGTGGCAGGCTTATGAGTGCCATGATTACGATTACTTCACCCTGACCATAGAAAGCATGGATTCTGACACTGAGACACGTAGACTCTCACCTGTGGCTATTTTGGGAGATGGCTACCTTGACCTAATTAATGGTCCCCAGGATCACGGCTGGTGCAGCGGTTATACCTGTAGAAAGAGACTTTCAACCTTCCAAGCTCTCGTTGCATCAGGTCAGTTTATGTGAAGTTATGTTAAGAATATGAAAAGCTGCAAAATATATATTTGGTTAATAATTTTTTTATCTTCTATAAAAATAAATATTTTTTTATAGGAAAGGATTACTTGCTGCACTACACCAGTACTTCCCCACAGAACTCCAGGTTCCACCTTCTGAATGCTAAAGACACAGACTGCATTGTTCTGTCTGTGTGGTACTCCCAGCCCTGGCGACTGGATGTTTACCACGACGGGACATACATCAAACCAGAAAATGTACGATTTGTAAATCCGGGAAACCGGTACATTATTGACCCACCCCCCGTTGGTCAGCCAGATTTCTTCAAACCAAATGTAACTGGATGTCAGGATCCTCATGGAGCCAGTTATTTTGACCGTGACTCTGGAATACTCACCATCAATATCCGGGGATCCAAACCATTCGATGTCAAGACAGTAGATGTAATTATTGTGTCATTCCAGTTCCCTGCCATGAAGGAGTCTGATTTCTATGGAGAGAATATTGTCATGAACATTGCTGCATTCTGTAATATTGATGCCAGTCGGGTCAGAATCACAAACATTGTGAGGGAGACGCAATCCTCCGGTCGTCGCAAGAAGAGATCAGCTGGTGACATCACGGGATTCTCTGTGGAGATTGGAAATCCCCCCTCAGCAGGTACCTGTCCGAGTCTGGGACAGTTTTGTAAAGTCTCTGTCTGCAGATTCATTAAATTTTTTATCTCATATTTATTTACTTTTATTACAACATATTGACTTCTATGTACTTTAGCTTATATGTTTGAAGAAGAAAACAAATTCATTTGATCATAATAAAGAGATATGTGTTATTTTCTCCCTTACAAAATATTTTTAAATGTAACTTTTTGCAGATGTAAATGGTACGCTACAAGCTGGAGACCTATCAGAGGCCGAACTAGAAGAAGCTGGATCTAAGATCGTCAATGAAATACAACTCGGAAACTTCAGTCAAATTATAAACGTGAGTCAGGACACCACCTACTCCATCGCTGAGACCCCACCCACCCCCGGAAGTCAGGAGTGGGGAGAAATCAGTACAGATGATGACCCCTACACACCACTCTTTATTGTGGATGCCATGAAATTCAAGCCAGCTTTAGTGCCTCAGCATGAGGGAGTCCCATTTGCTACTCAACCAAAGATACAAGTTGTGGATAAAAATGTAAGATTTTTTTTTACCTCTACATCTGAATTAAAAAAAATATTTCAATTTTTAAGAATGCTTTTTTTGAATTTTCAAGTAAATTGTCTATTGCTGCAACTTTCTGGAATGTTGTTTTATTCTATACAGGGAAATATCATCAAAAAGCTGGGGACCAAGTCTCACCCTTGGCAAGTCGCAGCCACAATTAGAAGTGGCACTGGTAACCCTAACGCTGTGCTGGGGGGTAACACGACCGTCAGCGTCGTAGATGGATGGGCCAACTTCACCAACCTCCTGATCACACACTTCGGTCAGGACTACATCTTGGACTTTAACATCACTTACCCAGACGAGGGGGAGAATGTGAGTCTCTCCAGCGATCCCTTCACCATCACTGGACGTCCAATTAAAGGCGCGCTGGTCAGTAAGTCGTCCACTGTGGTGGAGAAAGCCCTGCTGTCTGTTGTACTGGAGCTGAAAGACGAGGTCACCCTAGAAACAATCTCCAACATCACATGGAGGGTAAGGGAGAGAACTCTGTTCTTTGTGCCTGTTAGCAATTTTAGTAAAAACAATGCTACATATTCCACAATCAAAATAGATCATGAATATCACTTCATAAAATGTTGCAGTACTGCTATGAGAAATATGTTTCTTTTTATACTGTTGATAAATTCATACTTATGTTTTATAAATCTATGTTTAATTTTCCAACAATAGGGTCATTATGAATCTATGTTAAATTTTCCAACAACAGGGTCACAGTTGGTCAGTGACAGCAGAACTGGGTATGCCTGAACTCTACAATGGATCTCTGGTTGGCATAACAACCACGACCTTTGACACCAACACAGCCCAGGCCAGCTTCTACTCCCTCAATCTGACCACTCTTGGGGTGTACGTGGTCAAGTTCCGCATCGTGTCCAACCCACCAGACTACAACTTTACGTACGAGGAGCTGATCCCAGTGAAAGCCCAGAGCCACATTAACCTGGTGATTGAGGACACACAGGATGTCGTCGTCAAATTTAACGAGGATTACGACAGCATTGTGGGAACCACATACAATAAATACTTCTCTGCTATGATGGGCAATGCCTTGGCCACCACTTACCCTGAAATTATCATGAACAGCATTTCTGTAGCTAAAGGCAAGTAAACTTTACTTAAAGATAATTGTTTATATATATGATAACTTTTAATAGAAAACTACAATGAATAGAAATGATTGAAGTTTTTTTATTATATCATTTCGACATTACAGGTAGCATTATGGTGAGCTTCCAGATCAGTGGTTCTAACTCCTCAGTGAACAGCACGGTGTATGCAGTTTGTAGCTCCATCCAGAACGGACAGGCTTACTCCTTCAATGGAAACTCGCTCTCATTGGCTGGTTATCTGACAGTGGGCGGGACCACATACTACGGAGTCACGTGTGGAGATGTAAGTTTATTTATTTATTGATCCTCTAAGCCAGCTATTTTAAATACAAGACCAGCCAGGAAACAAAAATCAGAATTGTGATTTTTTAGCTCTACTGGTCAGAGACCAGAAGAGCTTATGCGATAGTAATGCGTCCGGCGTCCGTCCGTCTGTCTGTCTAGCTGTCCGTCTGTCTGTAAACAATTTTTCAAAATGCTACTCCTGCTACAGTTTTGGTCTAATTTCAATATAACTTGGCACACAAGTAGAATACACTAAGATACATAATTCTGTTTATCGGTTTTTGATTTCGATGAACGGTGTTGCCGGGGTTACTAAAAATAGAAATTTCTGTGAAATTCTTTCAAAATGCTACTCCTCCTACAGTTTTGGTCTGATTTCAGTACAATTTGGCACACAAGTAAAATACACTAAGATACATAATTCTGTTTATCGGTTTTTGATTTCGATGAGCGGTGTTGCCATGGTTACTAAAAATAGAAATTTCTGTGAAATTCTTTCAAAATGCTACTCCTCCTACAATTTTGGTCTGATTTCAGTATAACTTGGCGCACAAGTAGACTACACTAAGATACATAAATCTATGTATCGGTTTTTGATTTCGATGAACCGTGTTGCCGTGGTTACTAAAAATAGAAATATCTGTAATATTGTTTCAAAATGCTCCTCCTACAGTTTTGGTCTGATTTCAATATAAATTGGCACACAAGTAGAATACACTAAGATACATTATTCTGTTTATCGAATTTTAATTTTGATGAACAGTGTTGCCGTGGTTACTAAAAATAGAAATGTCTGTAAAATTGTTTCAAAATGCTACTCCTCCTACAGCTTTGGTCTGATTTCAATATAACTTGGCACACAAGTAGACTACACTAAGAACATAAAGAGACTTTATCAATGATCATTATTCTATTTATTGCTGTTGTAAAGTTTCAAATCCCAGCTGCTTAAGTACTTTTCTCTTCCTTTGCTATAAGTTCAAACCAGTAGAGCTTCAGTCTCGACAGAGACTTCTGATTTTAATATCAAGTTTGATATGTGCAGGAAAAGTGCACTGGAGAACAGATATATCTTTAATGATTTTTCCACACATATTTGACTTGTATTTTGCAGATGACCCCTGCACCGTCCAGTGACTCAGCCAATATTGTGCTAATCGTGGCAGTGGTTCTGGTGGTGGTCGCGGTGCTTATTGTGGTGGGTGGACTCATCCTCTGGAAGTGTAAGGTGGTTCCCAAAACCAAGACTCACGACATCTACAGCAACGCCAAATATCTGGGCAACAATCAGGACATCGACGAAATCCTGTTCAGGGAGCAATCCTTTATGAGTATTAGTGCTCCCATGGCAACCAATATTTACTATGACAACAAGAAACAACCTCTTTGAACAGAAGAGCAGAATAGAGAGACATTGTTAACTGAGGCCTTAATTGACTGTGATACATAATCTTCTTATTCCTTTCATTTATATTTATTATGTTGTGTCTACTTGACAATCGCTCATTGTTAAAAGTATACAATTAGTATACAATTAGTTACAATTTAGGCAAAAATATTTTGACTGTGATAATTTACATTAAGTTTTCCATTTAATTTATTATTTTTGTTATAATATAACTTTTTTTAAATAGGTTTTATTTAAATGTATTCCCTTTTTGTAATGTCAGTAAATTCCTGACAATATTTTTTATTAAAAGCAGTCTATGCAAACACAATGTATTGTGTTGATTTTTCCATCATTTGATGCAAATATGATGTGTACAATATTATTTTTGGTGAATATGCCCTCCCCCTCACATACTCTTCACAGTTCAGAATGTTAGATTGTCTTTACCAGTCTTATGATTACAAAAAAATTGTGATAAGTTCACACTGAAAAGGCCTCTTCTTTAAAAGAACTCAATATTATATGACCATTTGTTCATCATCCCCAATTAATGATCTAGGAATTTCTTGTCTGGATTCTGACTAAATAAATATTCAGAGTATATTTGCTGAAATGTCTTATATTTAAATGTAAGTAACTTAAAAATCATAATTTTCTTTCCTTTTCACAGATAGAGATGGTAAACTTCAGATCAAATATAGCAGGAAGTACATGTATATTTTGGGTGGATAAGCAGCATATGAAAATATCTTTTGCTTTTCAGATTGGCTTCAAAATAATACATTTAGCTAACATTTTAGACAATCAAAGGCCTAAAAACAGAATTTTAAAAAAGTAAATAAAATTAATTATTATCCAGGGACATAAATTTTAAAATATCTCATATAAAAGAAGATTTTCTAAACAAACTACGATCAGGTTAGCTTTTGAAAGCCTCTAATCTGAGATTTAAGCATAATATAACTAAACAAGATGTGTTTGTGAAACACTGGTGCCCCTGTATGGCAACATAGTGAAGGTTAAGCTTTCTTAAATACATATCAAATATGTTGGTACCTAAAGTAATGCCTTTTCACAAGAAATACAAATGTGAATTATAAAACCCTAGCACCACCTGTTCAAAGGTTATGACCAAGGTTAACGTTTTAAAGGTAGGACAAACTCCGGGGTCAAGGTCAAAGGGTCAAGGTTGTTGGTTTCTAAAGAAAGGCCTTGTCTCAAAGATTACAAGTGGGAAGAATGAAAGCGCTGGCTCTTAACGTTCAAAAGTTATGGCCAAGGTTAATGTTTGTAAAAAGTAGGTCGAACTCCAAGGTCAGGGTCAAATTTGATGACATCCACTGAAAGGTCTTCTCACAAGGATTACATATGTGAAGTATGAAAGCTCTAGCCCTTACCGTTCAAAAGTTATGGCCAAGGTTAAAGTTTTTTCGTAAGTACGAAAATGTCCAAGGTCAAAATTGTTGGTTTCAAATGAAAGGTCTTGCCACAAAGAATTGATATTTGTAATATGAAATTCCTAGTATCTACAGTTAAAAAATTAGGGCCAAAGTAAAAGTTTGGATTTTTTGTGTAAAAATGGGTCAAACTTCAAGGTCAAGGGGTCAAAGTTCTTGATATTAAATCCCAGGTCTTGTCACAAGGATTAAATATGAGGGCATAAAAATGATTTTCTCCCCTATTTGTTCATCTGTCAGTAATGAAAACTCTAACCTTGATCATAACAGATAGGGCTTTCATATTTCACACAAACAACAACTGTGACATTTTTTGCTATAATTTATTTTAATAAGCATACTTTTTATAAGCAAAGATAAGTTTTGAAAAGTAGGTCAAACATGAAGGTTAAGGTTGTGGGGTAAAAAAAAAGATAATATTGGGAAAGGTATTGTCAAGGGTAATATACATGTATAACATGAAAGCCACTCCTTTTTCTCATTTAAAAGTCATTACTGACTGACCAATTTAAAGTAATGTTAAAATATTTGAAAAGTACAGTAGGTCAAACTTCAAGGTCAAGGGGTAAAAAATCATAGCATATTTGGAGAGTTTTGTCACAGGTAGTAAACATGTGAAATATAAAAGCCCCATCACTTCTCATTCAAATATTATGAACATGGTTCAATTTTTGTAATGAATAAGATTTTTGCCTTGTTCATTTATTTGTCTAAATTTAATCTGTTTGTCCCAAAAAACTTTAAAATTACCTGTAACTTTTGAATGCTTAGAGCTATGGTTTTGAAATTTACACATGTATTCCTTGTGTCAGTACCTTCATTTGAGCTTGAAAATATTTGACCTCTTGACCTTTGTCCCTCTTTTTCATGAAATTATCAGAGTTGAACCTTAGCCATAATTGACTTCTAAAAAGCTTCAACTTTGGCCATAACTACTGAGCTATTAAAACTAGGACTTTCAATTATGGAGACAAGTACTTTCTTTGGGAGACATTTTTGACCTTGGCATTTAATTTACATTTTGAGTTCCTTGACCAAAGGCTGCCATAAGAGGGCATCAGTGTTTAAGAAACACAACTTGTTTTCAAAAGGGAGATCAATCCCAGTAGTCACTGTGACATATTTCCAGTGTTATTTCCTAAAGGTGAACCTCATTTTCAAGATTAAACTCATGACAACAAGATAACAAAATGCATTTCAAAACTTTAATTTGTTTAAAACTAGGATTTTTGTTTTTTTCTAGCAGAAAGTTTTTCTTCTGATTGAAAAGCCAGTTCATACAAAAACTCCAGGATCTGTTCTCTGTCCTCTCTCAGTAGGTAATCATATGGTCTAGTGTAGGATATTTCTCCACTTTCTTTCTTGTCTTGTATTTCTGGTTCATCCCTATTGGTACTGTCTTTCTGGAACAAGTTGCCTTCTTTAATGTCCGCATAATGAATATCACCAAGCTCCAACCAAGTGAAAACAAGCTGAAATGAAATCATAATCTAAAATGCATGCAATTAATGCTAGAATAATTGAATTTGTTAGAAGGCTTCAATTATTACTCAGTTTGAACCCCACTATGAATTCCTTATTATTGTGACTTCATCCTAGATAGTTCATACTATAAATCCTTTTGTTTGGCATTATAGTCAAGTAGTTTCAGAGGATTGAAATATTTAGATGATGATGGATGATGACAGACAGTGATAGCAACCAGTTACATGATGGAAAATAAGTTCACATTAGATTTAACTAAGATAAACTTAAGATAATTTCTGATCAGTTATACAAATCTGATTAAGAGGCTCTTAAAGAAATAGATAGACTGAATTATCATACCGTTGTTTCCAAGCAAATGATTCCTAACATCACTTTGGAGTCACAGTCTTTGCTAGCATACTGTGTATTTTGATATTCAAGCAGTAGTTCACCAGCATGCTGTGCAAGAATATCATCTGAGAGTGCAGAATGAATGTCAAATCTTTCAGGAGATCCACTTCTTCTGACTGACCTTTTCACCTAAAACAATTATGAGCTTTTATTCAACCTTTTCTTGAAATTAAAATGGTTTTTCTTTTTTATATTGCACGTGTATCTGTTCAAATTATTATATTTTTATATCTGTTCAAGTAACTGAAATTAAATTCTCATACAAAATTGAATGTTAATCAGTACAGTTGATCAAATAAGTGTACCTAAAACAAAATCTGAAAAAAAGTAAAAGAAGCAATGAAATGAAGTGAAAAGTAAATAAAAGAAAAATATTATGAAATTTCAAGTGACAGATCAATGAAATTTTCCCTTTCCAACTGCACCGATTCCTTTCGAATGCCTACCAAAGTGCCCCTCTTCTTTCATCAAGAAATTTTAAAGTACATATCAGTTAGAAATGTGTTCTCGTTATAATATACAAACCACAGAAATGACACACAGACACAGGTTCCTTTCAATATCCTGCAAACCGCCCACATTAACAAGACGTAGAGCAGGAGCTGTAGATGAAGGTACACCATTAATGTTCACAGTGCTCCTTAATTCTTCTCCTTGTCTGAAATATTTGATAAAAAGAAAAATACTAATTCAACAAGCACATTCTAAGAATAGTGATCCCACTTTTGTTGTTTATCAGTTGTGATGCAATTACAGTAAAACTGGTATTTTTTGTAGTTGCACGTGTCCAAAATTTGCAGTATTTTGCAAATTTTTAGGACAAATCAGCAAAAATTGAAACGAAAAATATTTTCGGAAAACATTTTTTTAATTAAATTAAAGAGGGTAGATTTTACTTTTGATTTCATTGAAAATATGGTTTATAAAGTATCTGTTAAATGTCAAAAATTACATGGCAAATAAGTTTACACTATTTGTACTGAAATTTAAAACTTCAAGATGTTTAACATGACTTCAAATTAGAAGTATCCACCAATGGTATGCATTATCAAAAGAAAACAATTTGGTAACATAGAGTTCTTGAAATCTTTCGGTCCTGTCGGCAAAACCGATAAAAGCAACCAAGGACCGATTACTTTGCGTTCCGTGTCAGTCCAAATGACTGGTAATTGTTGACAGAAGAACTTGCGAGAATCCGACCAAATTTCGTACGTATTGCTAGCTGCAGATCTGTAGCTCTCCGAAAAAATAATTTGACAGACCGGAGAGCTACAGTGCCACCCATTGAAAAAACTGTATATTTATTGCGCACAAAAAAGTGCGCTGTTTATCGATTTATTTCTCCATGTTTTTAAAACTATAATCTCAAAATATTACTAACCGTGTATTCCTAACATAATCTTTCACTGTATCCACTACAAAACATTATAGTTATTGTTTATAGCCCTTCCATCTCTGAAATCAAGATCATCGATTCGTCTGTTTTATATATACTGTCATTTTTGTTTGTAAGATAAATCGGCCCAATGCGCATCGTGTAGATGTCAACTACGAAAGTACTTGATAGAAGAGTACGAAATTTTTTGAAATCTAATTTTTTGCAATTGAGGTAAGAATTTGGAAGAATTAATCCATACACAAGCGCAACTTTTTGTGCGCAATAAATATACAGTTTTTTCAATGGGTGGCACTGTAGCTCTCCGGTCTATCTATTTTTTTTTGAGAGCTACAGCTCTGCAGCTAACGTATTGCCCGACCGATCGTAATCTTTTAAACGCTTTTCTGAATCTTGTTATGGCTTCTTCGATGAATGCAAGTGCCAAACTATGATTGGTAAACTAGTTTGTTGATAGCGCTGGGGTAAGCCAGGTGAGAAAATCGAACTAGATTAAAAACTTATGAAGAAAATGGACCCCCACGAGAATTCAAAGAAAGTTGTTATACGACGATCAAATCGGCATGAAGTGTGCAGTGTTTATTGACACTGGGTGCACAATACATTGATAATAAAATTCAAATACAGTTTTTCACCTTTTTATTGAATTTTTTTTGGACTGATAGAAATCTGTCTGGACTGACAAACTTCACATGGCAGTCAGTCCAAATGACTGACAGTGAAAAAAAGATTTCAAGAACTCATCTAACATACATTAGATTAAAACAGGACTGAACAAGAGATGTTTGTAAAACACTTATGCCCCCTCCCCCCAAATTGGAATTTTTCCAAGTCCAAAAGGGCATAACTCTGTCAAAAATGGTGCAATCGAACCCAAAAAAAAACTTGACCTAGATATTCATGTGATATATCGGTAAACCAAATTCTTTCAGTATGTGCAATGATTTTAAAGAAAATGAAGAGAAACTGCAAATAATTGGAATTTTTCTAAGTCTAAGGGGCATAACTCTGTCAAAAATGGCACAATCGTACCCAAACAGAACTTGATCTAGATATTCATGTGATAAATCTGTACACTAAATTTCATTTCAGTATGTGCAACAGTTGCGAAGAAAATGAACGGAAACTGTAAATAATTGGAATGTTTCTAAGTCCAAGGGGCATAACTCTGTCAAAAATGGTGCAATCGTACCCAAAACAGGACTTGGCCTAGATATTCATGTGATATATCCGTACACTAAATTTCATTTCAGTATGTGCAACGGTTGCAAAGAAAATGAACAGAAACTGCAAATAATTGGAATTTTTCTAAGTCCAAGGGGCATAACTCTGTCAAAAATGGTGCGATCATACCCAAAACAAAAGGTGACCTAGATCTTCATGTGATATATCCGTACACTAAATTTCATTTCAGTATTTGCAACGGTTGTGAAGAAAATGAACAGAAACTAAGTGGACTGACAGACCGACAGACAGCAGCAAAGCAATATGCCCTCCCTTCTTCGAAGGGGGGGGGGGCATAAAAAGGGCCAATTTTGACTTCTTTAGTGCAGTTTAGTTATTAAGAAGACATTACTAATTTCTTTAATGACTTTACTGTTCATAATACTTACTTTGCTCTCAGTAGAAAGATTTTAACAAAAGAAGCCAACAGAGCCCTATAGTTTGCTTCAACTGGAGGGTGGGTGTATGTGACACATCTTGCACGAAGAAATAGAGTTAACTGTTCATAAAAGTTCAGAAGATGTACCAATATCTGTGTGTGATACCTGGGAAAAAAGAAATGTATAAGCTTACTAATGTTAATATAGATATCCAATACAAAAATTCTCGTCCAGAAACATAACTTACTATACACCTAGATATTTGCTTCAAACCCATCTTGAAAAACCTGTGAATTTTGTGTCAAGTTCCATATTTTCTGTCAGTTATCCTCTTGTATTTTGAATATTACAGCACAGCTGATAATATAAAATGATAGTAATTTGAAAACGGAGAAAAACTGCATTTCAATTCTTCAAACTCACTGTGCATGTTGTAACTAACTTCAAATAGGTTTTTTTTCCCTTGCATACTAACACGGAGAACATTTTATTGCTTATTACTGCATTTGTACCTTTGACCTGTTGACTAGTTTTTTTTTTCATCTGCTGCTGACAGAATGAATTGTCATTACTTACCAAGTTAATTCCCCTTTAGACACAAGGCTGTCCCACAATGGTTTTATCTCTTCCGTCACCTCAATACAACTCCCCAGCTCTCCTTTACAGTATTCAGTATTCTCTTTTCGTGTCATGTTAAAGGATGTCTTTGACATTGCTTTCTTAGTCAATTCTGTTAGAGACTCTAAAATGCTTTTCTTTTCTTCAGAAAGGGGCCCAAAACCGAATTTTTCTACTACTTTGAAGAAGTCCTTGAAGTTTGATGTGTGATTTTTGTAAGATAGACCAAGTTTATCCAATCTTTCGATCTTCCAATTAGAGACACATTCTCCTATAGAATAAGATTGTGAACCTCTTGCTATTTTATAATCTCTACCATGATAGTCGTCCTTGGTTTTCCTTTTCCGAAATTTCAAATGACCACAGGATTCATCAAATTCATCCACACTCTCACATGTAGAAGTACAAGAACTCTCTGATGCCATAATGATGTTCTCCTCTTCCATTCTTTGTTCAAATCCCCCAAAGTTAAGGACTAAATTTATCCCGGTAAATTAGTCCAGATTCAATTCACAGTTCTTCATAGTGGGCTGGATGTACAGGTTTCTTTAAACCAACAAGCTGAAGAAAAAAAGAGGAGCACTATCCTGCTAACATGCATAAGCAATAATGAATGTCATACATGAAAATGAAACCAAATAAATGTGCCGTATAGTATATATTTATTCTGATTAAATGCAAATTGATTCGAATGAAAAATAAATAAGGCTATATTTACTGCATGTCTTTTTTAAAATTGTTTATTTGTAAATTATAAGTGTCTTATAATGACATTCTTCAGTTCTTAGCAGTACAACACTTGAGCTGTTGCGTATGCAATCTTCTTCTTCCTTTGAATCACAAACCACCAGTCCTGGTGGTCATGTCGTGATTGTCACCATGTACAATGATCAATCTACGAACTCGTGGCATTAATAATAAATCTACACTGGCTTTTTAAGTATGCTTATGTAATGGTTAGGGCCGTGGATATCGGCCTGGATAGCTCAGTTGGTAGAGCACCTGACTAGAGATACAGGGGTCCCGGGTTCGATTCCCGGTCCAGCCATACATTTTGTCCTTTCCTGTTACAGATTTGGTGCCGTTGACCACCTCTGGACTTGCAGGTGAAAGTCCTGCCAGGGGCAATAAGAACTTGGGTTGTGTCTTCGAGGGCGAAGACCATTTAAGGAGGGAGGAATGTAATGGTTAGGGCCGTGGATATCGGCCTGGATAGCTCAGTTGGTAGAGCACCTGACTAGAGATACGGGTCCCGGGACTTCTATATTTTTGTCCAGCCATGCATTTTCTCCTTTCCTGTTACACTTAAAATGTTTAAAAGTATAGGCCTAATTTCAAACCAATTATCAAAGCAATAGATATTAAACTTACTTTGTGACAACAAACAGTCTCATGAGGATGAGCCTGTCACTCTGTCACTGTGTCAGTTTGTGGCGCTAAAATAAAACATATGTAGCAGAATACCAAACCCGATCAAATTAAATTCTTTGAATTGAGGGGTTCAAAATAAAGCTTCTAATCAGGGACCCATATACTAACTATACTATAGTATAGAGGTCCCTGTTCTAATTTAGCAGTTAAAGTAGAGTTTGGTGCATTTCCTATTATTTTCAAAATATAAAAAATTATCAAATAGTAGGCACGTAGCAACGGGGGAGAGGGGGCATGTAAGGGGGCTGCCCCTCCACTTTTTTTTTTTTCAAACATAACTTTTAACATTGAAAATTTTCATTGAAAGGTCGCCCCCCCCCCCCTACACACACACTTTTTGCTATAGTAAAGTGAAATAAGAGAAAAATTGGTAGAGAAATAAGTTGATTCTAAAAAAGTTTGCCTTTACTATAGTATATAGGTCCCTACCTCTACCCCCCCCCCCCCCCCCACACACACACACACACACACACACACGAAATAGGATTTTCGACTTTGGGAGACAATTAACTTTCCCTTTTTTTTTTTTTTTTGCTTGTCAACTTTTTTTCAGGTAAGTTATTAATTTTTTTTCTCTGGCGCCCCCTTTCAAAAACGTGGTAAAGTAGTAAAAGAATATGCTAGAAACATACATTTAGTATTAAAGATGAAGTTATTTGTTATAAATTTAAGTCATTCTGTCGTAAACCTTTATTAGATTATTATGTGAAAAAATGGTATACAAGTCTACAAAGTTATGCTGATGGCAAATTAACCACATACACTGTATGAAAAACTAAAACAAAATTGGGGTTATGAGAATTATTTATCAGTTGTTAAAAATTTTCATCACAGAAAATCTCTATGTAAATTAAGAATTTCCTGTCACAGATGACAAATTGAAGTGGGAAGATTTACAAATATTCCTCGAGAAGATCGATTATGTAATAGATGTAATTCTAAGAGCATAGATGATGAAACTCATTTTTTAATAACATGTAAAAAATTTGATCATCAAAGAAAAGAAATATTTCAGTTAATTAATGATAAATTTCCACAATTCTCAGCTTTAAATGATGAACAAAAACTTTTTTGGTTAATCAATACAAAAGATAAGGATTTTGAAGGCAAATTTATATCACTATAATGTCAATAATCAATAATCTTTGTAAGGGAATTAACGACCTCTGACATGTTTTCGCCATATTTTATGAAGGAAAAAAAAGGCCCATGGGTCACAGCGCTCACCTGAGTACATTGGCTAGGAAAAGCAGAAATCAATTCATTATTGAAACATTTACGGGGGGGGGGGGGGGGGGGGGGTTGAATTTTAAACTACCTTAGGATGCTCTCATATTAATATAACAAGTGATTTTGCTGTTCTTGAGCAGATTTATTGTGCCCCCCCCCCCCCATAATCCTTGGGGGTCATCATTTACTACCCGAGGATGCTTCCATATCAGTAAGACTAAACATGGCTTTTCTGTTCTAGAGAAGATTTTTTCCTACATATTCCTACATGTATGTTAAACTTTGATCCCCATGATGGTCCCATCCAATCCCCGGCGGTCATAATTTGAACAACTTTGAAACTACACAACCCGGGGCTCCGTAATTTATGCCTATGTTCACAAATTAATTATTTTTTATATATGTTTTTTATTATCCTTATTTGCGATCCATTGAAGATCGTTGTCTTCCCTTTATGTCATCAAAGCATACAAAAAATCCGGAAGATTTTCAAAGTATAACGAATTTCAATAAATATATGTATGATCATTTTAGTCCAGCTCTGTGCATGTTTCAACATTTCTTAAATTTTGATAAGAAGGTACTGTGAAATCATTAATTTTTGTAGGGGTTTAATTTTCGTGGTTTTCAATGTATGGTGAGACCCACAGATTTATGTCCACAACGATTCAATGCAATTTTTCACATATACGTATTACTACTGAACAATTCTTCAATCACGAAATCAAATACCCATGAACCAAACTATTTTTCTCAAACCACGAAAAATTTGGCCCTTCGAAAATACGTATATAACTTTCTGCTTGTTTTAACTATCTAAACCACGCATTAGGGAGAAAGCAGCATCCAGAATCTAACTCTAATTTGGTGCATTCGTGAAATAAAAAAAAAATCTTTCAATAATTAAGAGAGATATCTCTTTAGCATAGAAAGATATCTCTTCAGCTTATAGAGATATCTCTTTAACTAAAAGAGATATCTCTTTGACTAAAAGAGAAATCTTTATACCTTAGAGAGAGATATCTCTTTTTGCAAGAGAGATTTCTCCTTTACTTAAAGAGATATCACTATAAGCTAGAGAGATATATCTCTAAGCGATAAACAAGGTTAAAAGAGATATCTTTCTTAGTTACAGATATATCTCTTTAGATTTTCAAAAACAGATATCTTTCTAAGCTATAGAGAATTAGAGATCTCTTTTAATGAAAGAGATTCGGAAAATAAAATTTATCTTAAAATTGCAGAGATATCTATCATTTTAGAGAGATATCTTTTAAAAAATAGAGACATCTCCCAACTTTAAGAGATATCTCTCAACTTTAAGAGATATCTCTGATATTTAGAGAGATAAATCTTTCACTTATTGAGATATCTCTTTTCCTAAGAGATATCTCCTCCACTTAAACAGATATCTCTTCCTCCTTGAGCGATATCGTTTTCTTCAAAAGAGATATCTCTGAACGTTAAAGAGATATCTTTTTCACCTAGAGAGATATGTTTTTTACTTTGGGAGATATTTTCAAGTTAAAGAGATATCTCTCAAAGTAAAAGAGATATCTCTCTTTGTTTATCTTAAGAGATTCCCTTATAGTGAAATAGATATCTTTCAAACGTGTCCAAAAGAGATATATCTTTATTGTAAAGAAATATCTCTCTTCATTATTAGTACTGAAATTGTGTTTTAATGACTTCTTCCTTTACCGGAAGTAAGCTTTTTAATCATGGAAGTACATTCAAGTATTCTGAAAATTTGACGTATTCTACATTACAACTTTACTAAAGATGACAAGTAATTCAGTGTTGTCTAGAGTAATAATAGCTGATTATTTCATAAGCTGAAAAAATTCGGTCCATTGCATTGGTTTTATGCTTACTTTCGTTTTCCTGAATATCAAACTTTTAGCATGTTTATTAACGAAGTTGTTATTATCTTTTCAGTGTAGCTTCAAACAAGAGATTTATAGCATTTTTGTCTACATAGTACATATATATTATTCTTGGTATGACATGCTCAGTCTTTTTTCTCATGACATCTAAATCATTCCAGAGACTTTACTTCCTGACTCGCTGTCGTATGAAAGGGGAGAATAAATTATTTTATTTTGAGGATTACTGGAAAAGAGATATCTCTTTCATTAAAAGAGATATCTCTTTAGCTTAGAAAGATGTCTCTTTTTTGAAAATCTAAAGAGATATCTCTGTAATTAAGAAAGATATCTCTTTTAACATTATTGAAGAAATATCTCTCTTACTTTAAGAGATATCTCTATCGCTTAAAGAGATATCTCTCTAGCTTATAAAGATATATCTTTAAGTAAAAGAGATAACATAACCCCTGTCACACCGGGGTTGCGTCCTCACGGCGACTGCACGGCGTCCTCAAAAAAAAAAAAGAGGTGATCGCAGTAGAGTCTCCTACAGCGCCGTGACAACGCGACGAGATCTCCACTGAACGCCGTAGGGTCGCGTAGGGTCTCCTAGAACGCCAGGGGACGGCGATCACTTTGGGCATGCACAAAGTATGCGCCGTGTGATCGCGGTCTGATAAGAACGCAGTAGAAACGTAGTATGATCGCCGTAGCAGCGTGGTGAGATCTCCAACAACGTAGTGGGAACTCTGTACGAACGCATATGATCGTAGCATGATCGCAGTGATAGTAGACTGCGCTTCCATGCACGGAGACCTCACGGAAATGTCAAGGAGTCCTTGGAGATGTCACTGCGTTTCTATCGCGTTTTAACGGCGCTTCTAATGAGATTTATCGTCTTGTGATTTTTTCGACTGCGATTACACGGCGACAGCCCGGAGTTGTCACTGCGATCATTGCGCTCCCATGGCATTTCTACAGCGTCCATGGCGATCACAATGCGCTTTCACGG